TAAGAATGTGTTGTGAATCTCTTTTTTTGGAATGCTATGTCACAAAGCAAAATAACATTCTTGGAAGAAGAAAATGTCCATAATACAAATCTGAAACAGAAAAGATAAGAAACGTACAGAGGTGGGGATTGAACAGATCCTTATCTGAATCCTGCTGAAGGTCCGATGTCTCACCTGCTATGTGCAGAGTCACTGGCTGGCTGTAGTTCAGTTGAAAGGAGGCGTCGTCTCGGGCAGCTCGACACCAGTACTGCCCTCTGTGGGACAGGGCAGCGGACTGGATTGTGTATTGAGTCCCACTGCCAGGGGCCGGGGTCTTGGGGCTGTCTTTGTACCAGGAGTAGAGCCAGTCAGAGGACCGAAGCCAAATATCACAGCTCAGAGTGACATTGTCTCCTGTAAAGAGCTCTGTCCCGGAGGGCAGCAGGGTCAGACGTGTCTCTGGCACGGCTGTGGACCAGAAATAGAGTGTTCATGGGAATGATCAGCAGAGCTGGAATAAAGATATTTTCACTCATATGTACCGAATGTCTGGTTCAGTCATGACAGAAAATGCTGATCTCTCATTGTTCATTCACGACAGGATTCATGACATGACATACAGTAACAGATGGTATTCCAGGAAGAGGGAAACATCACCACCAGGTACAGAGCAAGATTCCTCCATATTCTTACCCCACAGCTCCCAGCATGACTTTATGTGGCTATTGCCAGTGTTAACCATTCCATGATGTACTCCTTCTTGAGAAACAGGTGCTGTGTCACCAGAAACATGTAAATGAAGTGATGACGTCCTTCTTCCTCAAGATGGGGAGATTTGTTCTTTTAGCTCACTGTCATCACAGTGGAATGAAGGGGTGGTGGAATTGCTGACAACAGTTTAACGAGAATGAGTGCAGCCGGAGCACTGTGCTCCCTGCAGTGTGTTAACACTCACACTGGCAGGATGGCTGAGACGCAGGCCATGTGGCCAGCTCTTACTTTTGAACGATGTTTTTAAGGAAATGAAAAGCGTGCTATTTTAAACGAGCATGCTGGCTGAGCTTAGCGGTTTTAGAGGTGGCACGTCTGTGGTGTAATTCAGAATAAGTATGAGATGGGAGATGGGTGTGCTGCTTCTGATACTGCTGAACGGCGATAAGTCTGTGAACATCTGTGCATTGTTCAGCTGCGCGTGTCTGGCCAGATGATACCAGTAATAGACACGAAGCTCAAACCACAAAGAGAGAGACGATGTGACAGAACCACAGCTGCATCACCAATGTGCTTTAGCTTGAAAAAACAAAACACTTAACTTTTCACATCAATTTCTAACACAAGAAAAAGACCACTGTCTTACATCATCTTACCCGCATTGATGTTAAAATGTCTATAACTGTTGACTGTTTGACTGTTTGCAATGTTTCTGAACCACAAGTTTGAGATTATGAAGTCAGACTCTCTGATTTTCTTCCTATTGTTTAACTTATTTTGACAAATTAAAGTTCCCAGGCAATTTAGCATATAATACGAGAAAGGGATTGACAAATGTAATTCAGAAGAGGTTTGACTGTAATACTCACCGGAAACGTGAATCTGGATGATGTCGCTGTACTCTGAGTAATACTCCACTTGTCCTCTCGCTGCCCTGCACCTGTACTGGCCAGTTTGAGACACAGCAGCGCGAGAGAAGGTGAGAATGGAGCCGGTTGGCTCATTTCTCTCTGTCTGGCTCACAGGGTCTCTTTCGTTGTTTCTGTACCAGGAAAACCTCCAGCCGTCAGGCTTTCCCTCAACCTGACAGTGTAGAGTCACTCTCTCTCCAGCACAAACCTCCCACCATCTCGACTGCAGGCTCAGCCTCACTCTCGGCCTGCCCCCTGAAACAACAGCGTTCAGTACAGCGTTATCATCCTCACAAAATGACATTGTCACAGAAATAAAGTCCCATAGTCTGTACAGTACAATCTGGTGTTTTAGGAAATTGTCAAAATCACAGAAAAAAGTCAGCTATTTGCATCTTGCAGCACAGGGTGCAACAGCAGAGCACTTTTAAAACACTCAGGTGAAAAATGGCCAGAAACATATTTGATGAACAAACTTTTGGTCAGCAGACCTAATAATTATTCCCATAATTATTATCCTTTTTTTATTTTATCCTTGCTATATGCATGATATAAACTGTAACAATGATCAAATAAATCATTTTCAT